TCGATAAACTAACGTCCCGTGTAAGTAGAAGAACAGTTGACCAAGAGTAGGTCGAGTCAGGGCAAAATTGCCTTCATGGTACCTCTTCTGTTGCAACCAAGCTAGTAAAGACTGGCATATACCTTACAGTGTTGTATAAGGGACATTAGGCATGTCATTTAACAGAGATTGTTGGATTTAATTGATGATGGCCCCACTCCTTTTATCAGATTGCAATCGATCTGCTTGTGGACGAGACGTGATGTTACCTGACGTGGCATAAATTGTTGAGGTCCTGAAAACACGTACCATTGAGTCACTGAACCTAAGGACGTCGCCTCATCCCTGTCGACACACTACCGAGCCAAGCTAGAGGATGAACTGGAGAACATGAAGTCACGTCACTTTACCAAAGATGCTGTACAAGAGTACTTTAGCCACGCTCTAGCATGGACCAAGAAGTCTTACGGCAAGCGATTTCGGGATAGTATGAAGACAGAGCTCCACCGACTCCTGTCCACTCTGCCTAAAACTGTCAGTCCTCCTCCCTCACATATGCAGAACACACACAACCTTCTCCACGAAACACTAAACGAAACCACACCTAACAACAGAACATTATTACCTGGAGAAGGCATATCCATTAACACTCCCTCGAGAAGTGCACCTAGGCCAAACAGTCCACCCGATGCGTTGCCTAGCTCGCCGTCGTCCTCGGGTTCAATATCTCCACTGAACGCTCTCATCGGCTGTCTGTTCCCTAGATCGTCCACCATTCCTATCCTTGACACGACCAGGCTTTCTACAAGGACTCTCCACGAAGGAACCACACAGATACAAGGTAAAGATAAGAAGTGTTCATGGTACCTGCCACCTATGATAGCCAAGACCCTGGTTATTGGATCCTCTAACCTGACAAGGATAGTATCCTTTGTCGGGGACTGAACGACTCATAGCTATTCTGGAGTCAAGATGTGCCACATCAAACAGATCCTACAGAAATACATGGGACCTGCGCCCGCGGAAATGGTTATACACGTCGGATTCAAGTACCGGGTGGAAGCTGGACCAAGAATACACGAGCGGATGCCAGATCTGTTCGCGGTGGCTAGAGCAGATTTCTTAACAACCACGCTCTTCACCACACAGATCCCCACTTCTAGACCGCCAACAAAACATCAACAGATACAAGCAATTGATCTCCACTATACCTTCAGCATATGCCATTACAGTACCAAACTTCAAGGGCAACGTAGAATTGAAAGGAAGCGACGCCATCCACTTCAGCCCAGACACGGCGAGCGAGATCATCAACTGCTGGATGGGGAATTTAAACTAGAATCAGTGAAAAGAAATGAAGTCGTCTTTAGGACAGACAGTTGTCAATTTGAGCGACAGAACATGTCATACTTGCCAAAGGCCTCAAGTTTATTCCAACTCCAACTATAACATACATAGACCCCATTTTTCAGGCAACCGATCGCTTTCAAAGAACTCTTTCATTGACTTATGTTTTAGTAACAAACCCGGCAAAGGTAAACAAATTATTCACAGAAAAATCTACATAGAAACCACCGAATCATTGATTATCAACAGCACTTGTAAACACTTTCGACCAAATAAACACAGAAATATTATCCCTTCAACCACAATTACAAATACCAAATCTAAACCGGGCCGCAAAAACAGCATTAAATACCCTCAAAAAAGACAAAAGCATTATAATTAAGAAACGTGACAAAGTCTCGTACATACCATATCTCAGAGGCAGAAAAACAGTTAAAGCGGAAATTGCAAATTTTTAAGTTATATTTTTAAAATTTATTAAAATCAAGCCTGAAAATAGATGGTATCCATAAACAGTCCTACCTTGTTAAAGAATAATCCTATTAATCCTCTAATTCACTATTGCCAGCTGAGAAATTGGCAAAAATATCATTTTCCTCTTCATTTTCAAACGTTTGGAATAAGCTACTCCATGGTGGAGAATAGAAAACAAGGGAGGTAATTGTGTTATTATTTCCTGTGTAAATGAGTTTTAAGTGTGAGAATGACACCTATGATCGTATAATTGTGAGTTGACAACCTATTGAGCAAAAGACATAGAAATAATTACGTTTTGACTTTCTTTAAGTAATCCTAAACATTAGACTAAATTAGATCAACCCATCTTTAAGGACACCACAACCTTAATAAACCACATATTACATGAATTTCATGACAAGGAATACATAACAGCAAAACATTGTGATTATCTATCCTCTAAATCTGACTGCCAACATCGACATCTCTATACGCTACCAAAAAACATCAAAATCCAGAATGGTTTATACGTAATAAATTACCCAAGGGGCGCCCAATAATATCAGACTGTGACAGCGAATCATACAACGTATCACAATATATAGACCATTTCTTATTACCCCTAGCATGCCAACACGCATCCTACCTTAAAGACACCAACGATTTTATTCACAAAACCAAACAGAGCATGTACGTAGACATTGATAATAATACAGGTATTGAAGCAGTTAGGAAAGCATTTCTTAGGAACCCATAAGCAAGCATCCAGGAGGCTAATGAGAGAAAAATTCTGGATTTACAAATTAAAAACAACACCCTTTCTAGGGTTGAATATTCATACGGCTAACACAATAGTCCCCTTTGTGGTACCATTTAGTGCAACAGCAGCAAGTGCGTCCAAAATCATCAGAAAACACTATACTGATCTTCAGGAAAATCACCCCAAAATTTTACCACAGAAACTTATAATTGCATATTCTGCAAATAAAGATCTGAACATCTTAGTGCACAGTAAATTACACTAAATAAGGCCACTCCTAACCCTAACCCAAAAACAAACACTATATCAGACCATAGCCCTAATTCTAGTGTTACATAATGGCAGATCTTATAGACGCTTCGTGCCATCTTGACACGTGAAAGCGGAACTGCTTTTAACATCAACCTGTCTGCTATCGACATACTTGGTAGTCCTGATGGCATTCATTAGTCATTTCCATAATATAAGCTTTTGGTTGACCTGTTTTATTTAATTTCCTTTGTCTTATAAGCAAACTGTACTGAAATCAACTAGTGTTACATAATGGCAGATCTTATAGACGCTTCGTGTCATCTTGACACGTGAAAGCGGAACTGCTTTTAATATCAACCTGTCTGCTATCGACACACTTGGTAGTCCTGATGGCATTTATTAGTCATTTCCATAATATAAGCTTTTGGTTGACCTGTTTTATTTAATTTCCTTTGTCTTATAAGCAAACTGTACTGAAATCAACTAGTATTACATAATGGCAGATCTTATAGACGCTTCGTGTCATCTTGACACGTGAAAGCGGAAGTGATTTTAATGTCAACCTGTCTGCTATCGACAGTGTTGTCATCAAGAACCTGACATAAAGACACAATACTGTAACACTAGATCTAAACCCTACCCACTTGAAGGGATTAAAATAAAACTTCTTACTACTCTTTGACTGTAATATATAGTCAAAGAGTAGTAAGAAGTTTTATTTTAATCCCTTCAAGTGCCTGTGCTGTAGACAGTGGCGGCGCCAGATAAACGAACGGACTTGCGAACCTCAACGAATTCCCCTTATGAGCGCCAAAGTAGCGAGAGTCCATTGGGGACCTCGCCAAGAAAATTTTGGGGATGTGGGATTTATTCACCGTAGAAGGTATTGATTACCGAAACGTATCACAAATACTTTTTTTTATTTTCTAAAATTATTGGGGACGGCAAACAGAGGGCAGACCAGATTAATGGAGGGGGGGGGGAGGGGGCTGGCGCCGCCACCGCTGTAGAGTTAATATGAAGATGTTAGGCGTATCGAGAAGTCGAGCATTGCGTATTTTCAAATCGGTGTGTGTTCGGACTAACCTTGTAAAAATATAACACCGAGGTTTGCCAAACTTGCCAAATTTCGGTTTAGTGTTCTGATTTAAATAATAAATCTTGGTATATTATTAGGCTTGAACAACCCGAGATAGGCCCCGAGTTCACAAAACATTCTCAGAATTAAGTTAAGAATTTACTCAAACTTGTTCGCCTTATTTTAGCTCAAATGTATCCCTTTATAAAACTCTGTATCAAATACATCAATAAGAAACCCTTGTTTTGTGTTTCTGGATCACAGATATTTCTTATAAACAGTGATTGAAAGTTGAGTAAATTCTTAACTCTGAGAATGCCTTGTGAACTCGGTGCCAGATATTGTCCACAAAATACCCATGGCGATCAGCGGCTTGGTGACGTTCTTTTGAAATGTGATTAAAGATGCATTATGTAAGAGTCAAATCTGCCTAGTGCAGATCTTTATTTTGGCTTTAAATGTTATTGTCCCCCGCCTTTCGAAGAAAGCAGGGGACTATTAAAATGGGTTCGTCCGTCTGTCTGTCCGTCTGTCCGTCCGTCCGTCCGCTCTCACCCATTGGAGTACTGTGGTTAATGGTGAGTCATTTCTGTATTTCTGGGGTGATTTTTGACTTATGCGTTGCAACTCGTAAAATTACCACTTACATTTCCTCGCACGGTCAAATCATTGCATAAAATCGGACAAAGTGTGACGCAACCCATAAAATAACGGACGAAGTTCTGTCCGCGTTATCGTCCGTGCAAAACGGTCAAGACCGTGTGAGAGAGCAGTAAAATGAAGTTAGTTCCCTTTTTTTGGATCGATTGTCCAGTCTCAAATTTATTCGTAATTGGATAACCAAGACTATTTGAACTCGGTGAGATGTCCACACATGCGCAATGATCACGACTACAATTTGAGCTGCAAGCACGTGGTTGCAAGTGGATAAAATAAAGCTGCAATCTCACAAGCTTTTTTCATTATCAGAGAGTAAGTTATATTTTTTTCTTATTATTGTAGCGTTCGTTTAGATTAAATTACTTATTTCTATTTCATATGGTGTTTTGAGCGTATGTCTGAAACTAAATCTGGGGTTATTTGGCCGACAAGAAACTTCTGTGGCACTGACTAACCACGTCACATTTCACAGCCGCCATTTTTTTTTTTTTTTCTCGCACTTTTTCGTTTTCATCTCGGAAAAAGTCATATTCTGATACTCCACTCTTTGAATCCAACCGTTCATGTTGTTATGATGGAAGAAACATTCATGAATCAAGTATTGTCAGGCATATATATATTGGATATTCTCGTCTTACTCATTTTTTTGCTGGTCATTTTTATTGGATACCAAGTCCTAAAATTGTGCAAAGAAATTTATCTCCAACTTGTTCGATGGGATCCATCATTTTACAACATTAGGAGATAATCTCATTGTGTGTCTTAATTACAAACTGTCTCAACTCTCTGTTTCTTATATTCAGGTAAGAATATTGATCAAAGTGGTCACGTAAGAATGAATGTAGGACATTTGCCCCCCCCCCCCCTGGACATTTGCCGTCCCGGTCTTCTGCCCCCCTGGACGTCTGCCCCTCCTACTAAATGAAGAGGACATTTGCCCCCCCCCCCACTACCATTTTTCGTGGGATATGTTTAATTGTTTATGTGTTGAATATAATAAAAAAAATAAACAAAATTTTAACACATTTTATTGATAAAAAAAAAATTAATATAAAAATATTTTCTGAAAGCAGTAAGCCACTGCATACGGTTCAAGTGAATTTGTCTACAATTTTGTGATTAAATCAGCCATAAACTTCCAGGCACGTTTGCACAAGGTGTGCGCTGACGGCCGTGATAGACTGAAGACAGTGGAAATTTGTGCAAATGTCCAGGGGGGCAAACGTCCGTACACCCGTAAGAACAGCCACTTTGTAATTAGTCAAAAATATTAGACGACAAGGAGCTCTGTTGCACTTCGACTATACCTTGCCGTCTAAATGACGTCTGAGCTTCATTCTGTCTCTACCTTGTCAATGCAGTGCAAACAGGATTTCATGTTAAATTGTGATCTTACCGTGCATTGGATTCAACCGAATTCGCATTTTCCGGATAGGACAACATGTCCACACTAAAGTCCATTTACTTTGTAATTTGATAATGTGGCTAAGACAATAAGGTATGGAAAAGGCTGTCTGATATTCAAATAGCTTATATTCATTGAATAATTATTAATATTAATTTTTGGTTTTTGTATCTAGCACTAAGATGCCTAAAAGGAAAGACTCCTCAACCTTTGTTTGGGCTCCATTACCAGGGGCAATTATGTGGCCTGTTTTACTAGTAAATGAACAGGAGCCTAAAAAGAAAAGTTCTACTTCTTCTGTTTTTTGTAACTGCGATCAAACGGAGTAAGTATCGTAATGAAGATTTGTTTTTTTGGTTGGTCCTTTGATTGAACGTATCTTGTTCAAGTTGTCAGCCCATTTCATGATATTTAAATGTATTTAAACCATACTGAATTATAACATTTTCCACATGTGTAATTGTGTAAGGGATCTTGATAGAATTCTTGAAAGTTCCCCCTTAAATACGCCACTGTGTTTAAGTGTTTTGGTGGCTGTTAAAGAAATTAAGGGATCTAATTTTAGATCACATGTAAAAATTTTAACTTAATTAACTTTTCACCAGGTTCATGGTAAAATCTTCACAGATTGTACCATATAGAGAAAATTACCATCTCAAGGATTCTGGCACAAGTATACTTTATTGAAATTTCGTTAATTTTCTTAATTGTTAATTTTTCTTTGCTCAATTTGAATTGCTTTTGGAATAAGAAAATCCAGCATGATTAGATATATAATTGATTTTGATGTTTTATTTTGTTTTTACTAATTTGTTAATGTTTCAATTTTTAATTGTTGAAAAATATTTGTTGATTTTATCTTCAGGCCTAAAAAAAAAGGGTTCTGTTTCCGGTAACCCGACCGACCCTCTACAAATACCGCCGACTGACATTTTTTTCGGCGAATTATGAAAATAAAAAATTTTTTAGACCCGGCGACTGCCTGGTTTTGCCGCGGAAAAGTGAATTAGCCGACACCATTTTAAATAATCCTTAAAAAACAGCATATTACTGCTGCATTTGCGTTGTAAACACGTCCACTAGCTCAAAAGTTACGCATAACGGTGATCTCGCTGTTATTATCGGTACTTAGTTTTATTTCTAATATACTGAGTTGTAAAGTTTCTTTCTATACTTGGTTCAGCTAAAAGGAAACGAATGTTTTTTTTACGAACGAAGACAATGCAAGACGCTGCTTTATTTTCTGTAGAATGCAACGTTGTATTAATTTATCAATAAAACTATTGCTGATCATGGCAATTTTTATTTTTACTTAAATTGTAGATTTCTAAACATCGCAACGTACTTCTTTTTTCTGAAATCACTTGTGGTATAATTTTTAAACCTCCGCGCATGCGCAGTATAAAACGTCTGTTTCAGCTGATAATGATAACTGATAATGATAGCTGATAAATAATGGATATTATACGATGTTGCGTATATTTTAGTCGCTGTCGGGTCTATTTTATACAACGCTGATGTATAAAATTAGGCTTTAAAAGTAATTTAGGCCTATACATTTAATAGGCCGCCTCTTTTCTTAATTTTTGGAGGAAATAAACGACCCGTGCCGTACGGTATGGACTACCTGCTCTGCCAACTACGGCAACACGATGCTGATGCGATGTTATAAAAAGTAACATTTAGCGTCAAAACTCAAAGCAAACACAATTTGGGCAAACGAAAGGATAGAACTAAATATTAATAGTGTAGTGTTATAATATTTATAATTTGAAAAAAATAAGATAAAATAAAAATAAGAACCGACCGACCGAGTCTCGGGTTATAGTCAAAATGGCCCCAAAATTTGGTCATAATGGCCCCAGAAAAATGGTCAAAAAGGACTGCTACAATACATCGCAAGAAATTTCCAACTTGCGATAATCAATAATTTTCTGAGCCATATTGCAAGACTTACTTTTATGTTTATGCTAACTTACAAAGGGACATTGCACTTGCATCCAACACTTTGCAATTTATTTTTTAAAATATAATTAGGTACGTTTTTCGATTTACTTTAGCAATGATAATATAAATCATCCAATTTTTCTTTTTAGAATATCTCAAGAAAAAGAAGAAGTATGACACTCTTAACTGTTTCTTATCAGATATAAAATGGATTGAAGGTTAGATTTTTAATGCTATAAAAATAAAGATATCTGATATCTGCTGGCATTTATAATTTTGTGTAATGGTTGGATTGCCATATTCAGAAGATGTATGGAATTCGAAGTTTCTTTTAACCTCCTTTCTTTTTTTTTCAGAGATGATTAACCAGTCATCCCCAGGTATGAATTTAAGTGTACTTGCATTGCATTTTATGTTATAATATGATCGCATACTATTTATATGATTCCAAATCAATTTCAAGTTTTAATTTTGAGCAAACTTGCTTGAAAGGATAAAATCATAGCTGTGCATTTACAAGAAGAAAAAAAGAATCATAGCATAGCTGTACAGCTTTGTGACTTATAAGTTAAAGAATATTTTTAAATTGTATTTTTCTGAAATTTTTGATAGGGTATATTTTATTTCTGAAAATTGGGATTATGATATGAAACTGGAACTTCTTAGTTAAAAAAATAAACTTCTTAGTTAAAAGAAAGCCACATAACATTTTGAATGGGCTCCATAGAGAAAAAAAAGGAAACATACACATTTAACATAGGTGGTTGTATGTCTGCTGCTGCCACCCTCTTGTTTTAATTTTGCAATTGTTTCTCTTGTGTTTTTTTTTTATGTAGTGAAAAAAAGGTTGCAGGATGAAGGATCATTCACTGCTCAACACGATTCACCACCACCTACAACTCTCCCAGGAGCAACGCCACCTGCTGCACCTCCATCCATAACTCAACCAGATTTATCACAAACCACTACTGGACCAGTATTATTGCCACCTACAGCTCAGCCAGATTTGACACCACCCACAATTCAACCAGTTTTACCACAACCCACAACTCGACCAGATTTACCATCACCCTCAACACAACAAGTTTTACCACAACCCACAACACAACAAGTTTTACCACCACCCACAACTCAACCCGATTCACCACCACCCTCAACTCATCCCTATTCACCACCACCCTCAACTCAACCAGATTCATCACTACCCTCAACTCAACACGATTCACCACCACCCTCAACTCAACCAGATTCACCACCACCCTCAACTCAACCAGATTCATCACTACCCTCAACTCAACACGATTCACCACCACCCTCAACTCAACCAGATTCACCACCACCCTCAACTCAACCAGATTCACCACCACCCTCAACTCAACCAGATTCATCACTACCCTCAACTCAACCAGATTCACCACCCCCCTCAACTCAACACGATTCACCACCACCCTCAACTCAACCAGATTCACCACCACCCTCAACTCAACCAGATTCATCACTATCCTCAACTCAACCCGATTCACCACCACCCTCAACTCAACCAGATTCACCACCACCCTCAACTCAACCAGATTCACCACCACCTATTATGACACGACCAGATTCACCACCACCCTCAACTCAACCAGATTCACCACTACCCTCAACTCAACCAGATTCACCACCACCCTCAACTCAACCAGATTCACCACCACCTATGACACGACCAGATTCACCACCACCCTCAACTCAACACGATTCACCACCAACCTCAACTCAACACGATTCACCACCAACCTCAACTCAACCCGATTCACCACCACCTACAACTCAATCCGATGTACTGCCAACCACTACTGAATTAGGAACACTAGTAGATTCACTTCCAGGTACCTCATCTGGATGTATTCTTGGTACTTTGCAGTCATGCCAGTCACCACATTCAGATTATTCAGATTCACTTGCATCAAATACCACAGATGTACATACATCTTCTGTACAGGCTAATGGTTCCAAGCCACATCCACTGACTTGCTCAGACTATTCTGATGATCTTGTATCTTCAGGATCAGAATATGTCCCAGACAGCGACAGTTGTAATGAAGAAAAATCATATGTTAGTGACAGTGTATGTTCATCGCCACTGAGTGAAGTCTTTCCTATGCTATCTCAAAAGCCAAGTAGCAGAAAATCTGTGAATTTACATGAAGATGTTGTTTGTGAGGAATCCGATAGTGATGATGAAGATGTTAATGAAGAGGAGATAACTAGAGCCGCAGATAAAACAAGTATTTATGTTTTCAAAATTCTTAAAAGCTCAACTTCAAAAAGTGGAAGAAAGAAGAAGATTGATAGGGTATACAACAGCTACCAATATTGTCATTTATGTAAGAAAAAGGTGTCAAATTTTTCACAGCACATTTCTCGAAACCGTAATCTTCAAGCTCATGCCAATTGTGAACAGTTGTTAGATATATTACAAGATGAAGATAAGCATAGTAGAAACAGAAAGTGCACTTTACTGCGTAGCAAATTCAACCATGAATTTAACATGAATACATTAAAGCGTGGTAAAGGTGAAATCATATTAGAAAGGCGACCTCATGGAAAATTTGAATTAAAAGAGTATGGACCTTGCCCTGGATGCTATTTATGGTTGAATCATAAATTACTAAGAAAACATAAGAATGTATGTGTTGCTAAGTGTGATTTTTCCAAATCTGCATCATTAATTACACAGTCTAAAATTATATCTGGACGCATTCACACCAGTCCAAGTCAGACACTTTTAAATGAGGTATTTAGCTCAATGAACATGGATATGATAGGAACTGTTGCTCGCGAAGATCCCTTAATTGTTCAACTTGGGAATCAGTGGATCCAAAAAAATGTGGGAAATCGTCTTAAAAGAGGTGCTTACACAGGTCAAATAATGAGATTATGTGCCCGGCTCCTCATCAATCTGAGAGAAATAACACCTATTACAGAGGAACCAATTTTCTGGAATTACTTGAAGGCTTCTTTTTTTGATGATATAGTTGAGGCTACATTGAAAACTGCAAATGCTATAAGTGAGGATAACCTTGAAAAACCAAGCAATGCCCGTAAGCTTGGATTTGACATTAAAAAACTAATAAATGGTAAGATTGGAATATCGATCATGACTAATGATGAACCTAGCAGAAAGGAAGCAGAAGATTTATTAAAAACCATGGAAATTTTTTGGGGGACTAGGGTAGCAAAATTGTCAAATGTGATATTAGAGCAGAGAAAATATGAAAAACACAAGCAACTTCCAAATCCAGATGATATTGAAGAATTGAATAAAAGTCTTGAATGTTCTTTAAAAGGTTTAGATTTAACGACAACTACACTTGAAAATTTTACCAATGTTGTTGAAGTGGTTGAAGCAAAGTTAGTTATATACAACAGAAGAAGAGTTGGTGAACTAGAGGCCATAAGGTATGTCTCTACTGTTAATGTTAATTCCATTCTAGTTGATATCTTTTGTATAGATGTTGACATAAATTTGGTTGAGCCTATTCAAATGATTAATATTTTGCAAACCAGTATATATCGTAGTCATAATTGCAAACATGCTCTACAAAGCTTGGGCATTCTCCTTTTTTGAAATCAACTTTTATCTTGGAATTATTATATATGTTATTGAGTAACATTGTACCTTCTAAGGCTAGTCCATCTTCAGGATTTTCTCTATTTATGAATTTTGCTTTCAGACTTGCAGATTATGAAAATAGGAAAAAGGGTGAAGCACCACATCATTTGGTGGGTCAACTATCAGAGTTTGAGAGGAAACTTTTAACGGAACAAGAAGTTATGACAGTGAGGGGAAAGGTGTGTATTTTCAATCAGATATGATACTTAATTTCTATGAATTAGTAATCTCTTAATATCTTCATTTTCATTAGATTTTAATTTCATTTATATGTATATTTAATGATTTTGTCACTTGCTGCTAATTAAGGTGTCTAGGGTTGGAATCCTAGCCAAGGTATTGATCTTAACTTTGAAATTTTCAGCACGGTTATTCCTTGTCAGTGATGCCGGTCAGAGGCTGACAAGTAAAAATTAAAAAGTCGTACACATAAGAGTGCATGTTAAAGATCTGTGGACCATTGGAAATCGAAAAAGATAGGGTGTGTTTGTGCTGTTGTCTTGGGAAAATTCTTTCATTGCAGAATAGATGGTGAAGGCCAGTTCTCAGTAGCTGGAAATCTGTTCAGTTCAATAGAGCATTAAAACCATTCTTTCCCTCATTGTATATTTAATGTTTCTTTATGCTACTTTCAGACTGGTCGAGGAGTTCCTGTAATTTTACCTGCCATCACAAAAGCACCTTTAAGTTATTTAACTGACAGCTCTGTTAGAAGTGCTTGTGGAATAAGTTCCAAGAATGTTTATGTCTTTGCTGGGAAAGGTAGATATTGACTCTCAGTGTTTTAATTGTCATTGTTAAGTTAATATTATACAATTATTTCGAGGTGTGATAAATCCTTTTATTAATCAAATATAAAGTCAATTATTTTTTGTGACATTGATCAAGCGAAAGTTTGTATCAAGACAGAATTTAGATTTTTCTTTGCCATTTTATATATCCAGGATAAGTCAAGGAACTTTTAGTGGCTAATAGTAATCTTATTCTTAATCTTGTATTATTTCAGGTGAGGGGGTTATAAGAGCATACAATTCAGTTTTAAAGGCTTGTTCTAGAGCACCGTTGAAATCTCCACAGCTGATAACAAGCACCAATTTAAGAAAATACATGGCCACAGTAACCCAGGTAGCTACTTTATAAAGACTTTAATTGGGAGAAAATGCACTATAATATAGCAAAGTAGTAGTATTGTTAGTGATAGAGAATACCCTTTAAGGCATTATCATGGACCAGCTCATAGATAAATTCAGGGGCTGCGGAGCGATTTTTATAGGGGGGGGGGGGACTAAGCCCTAGAGATTTCAATATTGGGGGGGGGGGAGGGGGCTGAGCATTAACATACACCCCCCCCCCCCCCATAAAAAAAACACCTTTTAGCTGTTTTGGGTTTGTGTGACATTTGATATTTTCATTACCAAAGATATTGGGAAAGGGGGGCGGCTATGCCTTCAATTCCTGAATATTACTGTTTTGGTTTTTTTTAAATTTTAGGTATTTGACCTTAAGCCGAATGAAATGAATTGGGTTTTAGACCATTTAGGACATAGCATGGATGTACATAAGATTCACTACAGGTAAAATAACTGATTATTTTTAGTCAATTATTACTTTAAACCTTTATGTAGTAGCTCATGAAGCCCCAATATATTAGGTGACTCAGTAAAAACATTGTTAATTTCAAAGTTTTATAACTTTTATCAGTAATGATTTTTTTCTGAGCCATCTGCTATATCATTGTACAGTAGTATCTTAGATTCTGAAATACAACTTGCTGGGTTTGTCATTTTCATTATAGGGTGCTGACAATATTCCTAATTGACAATAATCATGGATAAGTTTCTAACGCTACATGCCATATGATTCAAATATTGACATAATTATAAGAATTTAGGCCAGAGAAATGCATAGTTCAGATATGAGCAACAAAATGGACAACATAAAGACACTTCTGATAAATAACTTTATTTTACATATATAATACAACATAGTCGCAATAAAACAAACAGAAATTCGAAGGTAAGAATTGTGTGATTGCAATCCTTCTGATAACCGAAGCGCCCTGTCTGGATCAATTTGCAGCCTTATGTCATCGACTTCCTAATTTATTTACAGTCTGATTGCAAATCAGAATGAATAACATATCAACATTAAATTTCAGAGCTTCAAGTGAAATACTTGAGAAGACACAGATAGCCAAGTTATTATTGTTACAAGACAGTAATCAGATAGGAAAATATAAAAACATGTCTTTGAAAGACATTCAGATTGAAGGTAAATTTTTATGCTTTTGAAATGAATGGACTAAATGGCTAATTCACATGTTTATTCAACATCACTTGCTAGTTACTGTTTTGTGGCGGGTGCTGTGCACAAGGCAGGGTATGCTTACCCCTCCGGAACACCTGATACCACTTTTCATGTCATATGGAAAGTCCACATAACTAGTTTTGTTTATTTTATGTATGCCTTGTCTTTTACTGTTTTTTAACAGTTTACTTTGTGTGGATATTTTTAATTGACTTTAATTTTAAAGCAAAGGATGATTCACGAACTTGTTTTACGAAATTTTTAAATTCAACTGAACACTGCATTTTATACATTTTCCCCATCATTGATCCGGTCAAGTAAAAAAAAGATGCTTGTCGTTCAAATAGCATGAAGACTTAAGACATGTGTGCTACCGGAGTGCATGTTAAAATCCCTCAACAGTTGAAAATTCAAAAAGAGTAGGTCTGTTAGTCTGCTGTCCTGACAAAGTATCCCACATTGCATGGTGAAAGCCTGTCCTCATTCGCCAGTAATCTGTGCACCATTCATTTGTTCAATCATTCCTTTTAGATTTGGTTATGGATGATCAGGTTCAAAGCCCAGTCACAGAAGACTTTGATAAACAGGTGTTTGAAGAGTCGCAAATGGACAGTGACTGTGAGGAAATAAAAGATAAACGAAAGCCTGCAGTTTCAATCAAGGTTAAGTGGACTCTTGAAGAAGACGAAGAGATAAAGCAGCTGTTTAAGAAGTGTATATTAAAGAAAAAAAGACCGTCTCCGAAAGATTGTCAGAAGGCTTTAGAAAGAAGCAAATTAAATGGTGGAGTCTTATGGAAGAGGAAAAAAGATGTTTTAAAAAAGAAAATGTTCAGGCTAATTGATAAGTTGAACAAAAATTGATTCAAATGACCTATCCTAATCTGTTTGTTGTATTGTCTTGCACTAACCTAAGGCCTGTTGTCAAAATGATCTAAATTTTAAATTGGAGTACTGATTTCCTTTTCTTTTCCAAATGGGCAGTATTTCACTTTGGTATTGTTTTAAGGGTATAAGCTAATAATATTAGCTCCAAAGCTTATTTTTTGTTATACAATATATATATATGAATATAGATATGGGTTTTCAGACTCAATTTAGAATTGTTTTTTTATTTTCTTGTAAATCCATCGGTCAGACTCTGACAGTCAGAGGTTTCAGTTTTTTTTAATCATGAATAAAAGTAATAAAAATACTTTTAATATGTACATGTATGTTGCTTTAAACTGAAGAATATGGCAATACATTTATATTGAAGATTGCTTTTATTTTTTAACTGTGCTGCCCTTTCAGAGAGTCCTTTAATTTATGAGATTTGAGGTGCATCAGATATTGTCCGAAGTCTTACCCTATTGTCGGACATTAAGGCTCTGTATTTCGAATACATGATTTCAAAAGCTTTGATGTGAAAATCTTGTAGAGAAGGGGGAGATAATATCTTATTGGCTTGTCCTAAGCTGCGCTCATCAAAGTAATGGGATTTAAGAGTTGCAGCGCATATGTCTGCCAAATATTGGGTCTTGTTCTGGGCTGCAGTCCATCATAGTCGGACACCTGGGCTCATTATTTCAGATGAAGGATTTCAAGGACTCGATTTCAAAACTCTTGTGGAGAAGGGGGAGATAATTTGTCTGTGGGGGTGGGTTGCAGCTCATTTCAACGTATATCTTATTGGCTTGTCCTAAGCAAAGGCGTTTTATAGCTGAGGCGCTGGAGGCGCCAGCCTCCTCGCGAAAAAAATCAAAGAAATTGGAAAAGTAAAACGGGAGAAAAATGCTAAAACCGATGAGAAAAATGAAAATGTACCCTAGTTAGGGGGCCCCTAAAGGCAGGCAAAAGGCCCCCACGTCTAACAAAAGGGCCCCTCTGGCCAAGGGAAAGTGCCCCGAGTCCTAGTCTATCGTTTTCTATACAATGTTACTGTCGCGTCCATTACTGAATGCGAATGCAGTCATTGCATTGATATAAAAATCATCAACCAAGACGCCCCCGCGAAAAGGCCCCTCAAAATAGTATAGCCTCCACCATGATAAACCTTAAAACGCCCCTGGTCCTAAGCTGCGCTCATCAAAGTAATGGGATTTAAGAGTTGCAGCGCATATGTCTGCCAAATATTGGGTCTTGTTCTGGGCTGCAGTCCATCATAGTCGGACACCTAGGCTCATTATTTCGGATGAAGGATTTCAAGGACTCGATTTCAAAAATCTTGTGGAGAAGGGGGAGATAATTTGTCTGTGGGAGTGGGTTGCAGCTCATTTCAACGTATATCTTATTGGCCACTCGGCAAACCTCGTAAGATTTCGGAATCTAAACTCGGCTGTATGATGAATTCCGCCATATTGGAACTACTTTAAAGGTACCGGATGAAACATGGCTGCGCCCATTCCAAACACAAGTTGGCGACCTATTTGGCTAGCGACCTATTCGACCGATCCAACTGTAAGATAATGACGAAATTACACTTCTATTCTGAGCTGAAGGAATGGATAAAAAATAATATATTCTACTTTCATTTGATAGACATAACGTTGGATTTTATTGATTGATAAATAGAGACTGTTGTCTTTACTCGAAATAGGTTTCCAACGAACAGGTTGCAGCTCGATCGGTCGAATAGGTCGCTAGCCGAATAGGTTCCCAATTTGTGTAATAGCGTCAAGTTTTCCTGTTAAAGTAAACCGGTAGCCGCATCGCAAATGTATGGGCGTAGGTACATATCACTTACTGTCATACATCCGAGACTAGATGTAGTTTACGTAGTTTACGGAATCTGTCGAGATTAGCCGAGTGTCTTATTGGCTTGTCCTAAGCTGCTCTCATCAAAGTAATGGGATTTAAGAGTTGCAGCGCATATGTCTGCCAAATATTGGGTCTTGTTCTGGGCTGCAGTCCATCATAGTCGGACACCTAGGCTCATTATTTCGGATGAATGATTTCAAGGACTCGATTTCAAAAATCTTGTGGAGAAGGGGGAGATAATTTGTCTGTGGGAGTGGGTTGCAGCTCATTTCAACGTATATCTTATTGGCTTGTCCTAAGCTGCGCTCATCGAAGTAATGGGATTTAAGAGTTGCAGCGCATATGTCTGCCAAATATTGGGTCTTGTTCTGGGCTGCAGTCCATCATAGTCGGACACCTAGGCTCATTATTTCGGATAAAGGATTTCAAGGACTCGATTTCAAAAATCTTGTGGAGAAGGGGGAGATAATTTGTCTGTGGGAGTGGGTTGCAGCTCATTTCAACGTATATCTTATTGGCTTGTCCTAAGCTGCGCTCATCAAAGTAACGGGATTTAAGAGTTGCAGCGCATATGTCTGCCAAATATTGAGTCTTGTTCTGGGCTGCAGTCCATCATAGGCGGACACCTGGGCTCATTATTTCGGATGAAGGATTTCAAGGACTCGATTTCAAAAATCTTGTGGAGAAGGGGGAGATAATTTGTCTGTGGGGGTGGGTTGCAGCTCATTTCAACGTATATCTTATTGGCTTGTCCTAAGCTGCGGGTCTTGTTCATCTAAGTCGGACACAAGGGCCCATATACATTCCAGAAACTTGAAAGATAATTTGTCTGTGGTCGGTGAACTGCAGGTCATATGTCGTACAAGGGACCTTTACACGACGGGCCCTCAAGCTTCTTAAATATAGTTATAGCTCAGTAGACGGGTCTGGTCATGAATTGAAGGCCATACAAGTAAGACGTCTGGGTTTATGATTCAATATTTGTGTAATATTGTGGCATTACCAAACACTCCACTTGTTTCATCATTATTATTATTGTCGTAAAAGTGCCATTGCATGAAATGAGTTGCAACTTGCCTTTTATCTGGATTGATCACCCCAGTTAAATGGGTCAGATAAATCACCCCAGTTAAATGGGTCAGATAAACCACACCACAAAAATCCATTTGTACGCCCCGCACCTCATAAGTCAAAATCCACATAAGTCGATTGAGCCGGTCCGTCCGTCCGTCCGTCCGTCTGTCTGTCCGTCACACTTTTTGGGACACAATTACTCTCTTCCTAATTGAGCTAGAATGTTCAAACTTGGTGTATGTGTTTATTAGGTCAATGCCTTGATGGAGTTCGAAGATGAGCATTTTCCGCTTAGGGTAAGCAGAGATAAGCAATTTGATTGGTTGATACTTTGGGGCACGATAACTCTCTTCCTAATTGAGCTAGAATGTTCAAACTTGGTGTATGTGTTGATTAGGCCAATGCCTTGATGGAGTTCGAAGATGAGCATTTTCCGCTAAGGGTAAGCAGAGATAAGCAATTTGATTGGTTGATGCTTTGGGACACGATAACTTTAGTTCTAATTAAGTGAGATTGATGAAACTTGGTGTATAGTTTCATTACAGTAATACCTTGACTAAGTTTGATAATGAGCATTTTCTGCTCAGGGTAAGCAGAGCGATACGCAATTTGATTGGTCGAGACTTTGGAAAACAATAACTCTCCTACTTTGATTGTTAGACTATAAGTAAAGATATACTGTTTGATTGTTCAATACTTTGTAAAAGATAATTTGTGATAAATTTATATGTGTCCTCTAATTATTTTCCTATTTCGGCGGGGGACATCAGCCTCACTGTTGGCTTGTTTAAATTATTATTTTGCCAAGCCCATAATCAACTCTCGAAATCATAGGATGGTTGTGATTTTCAATGGATATAAACAGGTTTAGCAGTTAATAATTTAATTTAAAAATCGATAAAATAGACCACACTATTCTTCAAATGGTCATAACTTCGCTCAGAAAGAAATAATTGCGTTTGAAATTAGCGTTGTTTTTAGAAGATATGTATGGATTGTAGTGTGGTTGCGGAGAGAGAGGGGGGGGGGTAAAGCCCACTCGACACAAACTAGGCCATTTCGGGACTAACATATCATTCAATTTTATTTCAATAATAATGGGAGGAAAACGGGGAACCCTGAGAAAGCCCATGAGGTTGGGCAGGCACCCTTACTCCTTGTCACGTACAACCGGGGAATCGAAACCACGCCAGACCTTATGATACAGCGCACACGCGCTAACCATTCGGCCATCCAATCCCCCTTACATTTATTCAAGTATGCTAGTGTACTTTTTAATTAATCTATAGTGTACTATATTTATATTTATGTACATAATAAAATATATATTTTATTAAAGATATGGAAGATTAGATAAAGAGATGGAAGTTCTTACTATAATAGTTAAAAACTAGTTGATGTAAAGGGGATATTCTGAAAATTTCAATCAAATTGCTTCACTCTAAGCAGAGAAAACCTTAGTTCAAAATCTTTGTAGCCTCGATTGTCATTGTTATCGCTGTCACGACAATTCACAAAGTTTCGGTTATCCATTTTTGCGTCTGATCATCAACGGGTGTTGAACAGCAGATCGGATTCATGTCCAATGAAAATCGAACAAATAAGATGGCACCAACAGTTGATTATGGTCTTTTCATGTTAATAAATTTGTCTAAATAATAGTTTATATCACATTTCAGGCCTAAAGAAAGACCTACAACAGACATATTTACCTCTTGTATAATGCATGTTTAATTGTACGTACAGTGGCATTAAATGCATATATTGAATTAATGAGCGCTATATTAAATGTAATAAACTAAAACTTAATTTGATTGACATCTTCAATATATTCCCGTTTCATTATCTAGTTTTTAACTATTATAACGAACACTGTCAATATCTTTAGCTGATAGTTTAGCCTGTTATTTGGGACAAAAGATGGATCGATAAATAATCAGAACTTGTCGCCGGTATTTATCTTAACCGAAGAATCTAATTAACCCTTACTTCATGGTTAATCAACATTGTAAGATGACTTCCTATAGTATATGGAGGTTAGGGAGAACACAGGTTGTGTAATTGTAATTAAAGTGGCTCGGAGAAACGCTCTGTGAAGAGACATTCAGCAAATTTAGCCAGTACACTTTAGCGCAAACAATAGTAATCGGAGATTATTGATCAAAGCCTCGTTGTGGCGGAGTCGACGGAAAGGTCAGTTATTATCCGAAAGTTGCGGAAAACAACATATTCAGATATTTCGCTTTCATAAACATCTATAGAAATTGTTCCGTTGTTTAAGAATTCTAGAATGATAATTCAGATGACAATTTAAACGTTTATTTTGAAATTACAGAAAAAATAAACACAAATGAATCCCTTGAACTAACCAATAATTGGTTCCAATGGTCATATTACAAACAGTTCCAAAAATTTCTTTTGAAATCTTTTTAAAGATTATATACACACCATTTTAGTGATAACAGAGATCAGTTTAGTAAATATATCATGTATTTACATCAGGTTATGTTCCAATTACTAAATGCCATTCAAAGAATATATTAGACATCAATATGGAGATGTGGCTGTCAAACTTATTATTTAAATAAGTAAATGTGAGTATAAGCTTATACGTGCAAGCAACAGTGTGACTTTCTTAATAAGATGTAGAAACAGTGACTTAACTTATGCTCACTCTCTCTGCATTCCATTGGATAGTTCGCACTGATGTTTGTATATATGTATTCATATCTTTCTCATTTTTTTATCTATTTGTGTGTATGCTTGATAACGACTTGTGCAACCTTGTTGAAACGTCGCTGTAAAATAAACCATAGTAATTGTTATCCATAAAAGTGTGTTTTAGATTTTGATTTACATCAGGTATGCAAATGCAAACAGCTACATGAATACAACAGAAACTAAACTACATCGGGAATATAGAGGATAACATTAACATGGTACATTTAGATAACCATTCCGTCCTCCTGCCACGACACGGGCTGAAATCGGGTGAATCCATACGCCGGTCTCCACCTCCTGTCTCTCCTCATCCCCACTCGTCTGTCAGCAAACTCCTGGTTATATAGTCTCCGACAATAGGGAAAATAGATAGACTCATGATCATATATGGAATTGTATATATGATTACTGACCACTGCGTATTCCTCTGAAGTCAGGTGGAGCTTGTACACAGATCACATGTTACATAGTTTGTAAATGACGTATGGGAATAATCACATGTTTAATTAGAACGTGACTAACAGAAGTATAATATACAGAGTTGGAAAGTTCAATATCATCTATTATCAAAACCAGCTGGGGTCAATAAGTTCACAGAATCTAAATAATAGTTCGTATTTCAGAAAAGAGAAAATTAAGCACTTTGTGGCAATTACTTATACTAACTTAGGTTGGTCTATTCTTGAAGAGGGGGTGTTGGATGGCCGAATGGTTAGCACGCGCGCGCTTTATCATACGGTCTGTCATTGAGTCAACTGGCGGGGTTTCGATTCCCCGGTTGTACGTGGCAAGGAGTAGGGTCGCCTGTCCATCCTCGTGGGTTTTCTCCGGGTCCTCCGGTTTCCTCCCACTGCTAAAGACCCCTACGCGCAAGCGAATTATTGAAATAAAACTTTAAAAAACATATGTTAGTCCCGAAATGATCTAGTTTGTGTCGAGTGGACGTTAAACCCCATTTCTCTCTCTCCCTCTCTTTCTCTATTCTTGAAGCATGAAGAAGATGGATCTCGGTGTACAGAATGCAAATTATTCTAACAAACCTCGATTACAAAATCCCGCTCCCCAATAATTTGATGCATTGTGTTTAGATTTACTGCCATTTTCCGATCCATTTGTAAAGTTTATGTTAAAGGAGCTAAATCGCTAATATTTGGGACCTAGAAATTGCCAAAAATGGGTCGCAACGCATATAATAATGTAATATGAATGTATATAAACTGAGTTACATTCAATCGTTCCTGTTTTTACTGTAACTT